CCCTCCCACGATGAAATTGTATATAGGAATATTTTTTATGACTGTGGGTTCCAAGTGGCTACGTTAAATTAAAATGAACCGCGGAACGCGTCCTGAATAAAGTGTGGTAAAGTAAAACCTAAACTCAGGTTGGCAATGCTGTATCCACAGCTTGATGCTCTCGTCTGGCTGCCTTGGAGTTTCCAAGGAATTTCAAACTTGCGCAACTTTATATTTCCATCTAAACTTTCGTGTTCTTTCCTTCCTTCTTTTTCTTTAATTTTTTTTTCCCACCCTGTTTCTCTTCGACCCCCCCTCATTTCAATTAACACGACGCCATACGGCTCGGCTGCCGAGTCAATAAACTCCGTCAGCACTTGGTAAAAAGTCATGGAAATTGCCACGTTTTTTTAAAAATCCTATTTATATCTGTACCTCCCCCCCCCCTCTTTTATGTCACTGTGCATTTTTTTATCCACCCCATAACTTATAAATATCCATTACAACCTGGTGGTCTTCCACGTATTTATGGTTATTCGAAAACATTGACTAACCAAAACTGACGAAATAAATTGTCAATTTTATTAGTCAATCCTTAGATACACCCCCGAGTATGTAGAATTATTATAAATCGAAGGAAATCCTTGACCAAGTTACTCCGGCAAATGATGTTTTAATCGGTGACAATAATTTTTTTAATTTCAGACATTAGACGAGCATTACTTTACTTTTGACCCCTTTGCGTTAGCCTTTACATTTAAGTGGTTGGCACGCTTGTACTGAACAGCGAGACAATGCACGTCGGTCGAATTGAAACTGTAGTTAATTGCCTGGGAACAGACGTGGTGACGAATGGTGTAAATTTTCCTGTACAATTAGCCAAGTATTTTGTGCCGGAGCGAAAACGATTAATAAGGAATGACGGAAATAAATTTTTTCAAATTTTTCATTTCATGCGTTCCGCAATACCTTGCGATGAATTTCAACTATCGCGACTTAAAAAAAAAAACCGCCAGACAATTTAATTGATTTTCATCCCCTGACATATCGAATATCACTTCTGTCTACCGTGTCGAAGTTCAAGGAGAGTTTTAGAACGGGTCGAGAATACGACACAGGAAGACCCACAAAGTCAGAAGCCATAATGGCTGCCAACAGCTGGGACTGTACATAATTGTACGTACAGTGAATAGCAAAGAAAAAAAAATTCAACCTACCCTAAACACTCATTTTAATTTTATATTTTTAAAAAAAGTCTCAATTTTTTTTTTTAATTTCACATCATCCCCTACGCAGTCCGCGGGACTGGACAGTCCATTTGACATTTCAAGGGTGATTTTTTTTCTTCCCGATGAAATCATCATAGTCATCCAAGCGAATGACGAGATCTCCCAGGTTCGCTCTCATAACCCTGAATTAGGAGAATTAGCCGTGAAAATGTAATTAGCCCGCAGCCTTCACGGTCGGATCAAGTTTCACCCTAATTGGTACGTTTCTCGTATAAGCAACCATTCATAGCATTGCATTTGATAAAGAATAGTATATTTCAATTACAATGAAAAAGTGTAAATAATTGACGCGTGCTGAGAGCTTAATAATGATATTCGTAAGAACAAAAAAAAATGTACATAAAATTTAAATAATTTTTAACCGATCATTTCATGCCTAATTGAATTTTTTTAAGGAGGAATTTAATTAACCAATCCCAACGGATGATCGTTAAGAAACGTTAAAGTCTAACCCTCATCCTTACCTTAATTGGCCTTGTTACATTGGATAACCGTAATTGAAAAATTTTTAGTACTTTGATATTAATTAGCAAGGAAAATTGATCGTAAAATAAAATTAATCCTTCCCTACGGATCAGACACGAAGGATCATCCTGTCAAAGAGGACTTATAGTCGAACTCGTTCATCTCCCGTCTGACCCTCAGACCGTCTTATACCACTTTTCTTTAATCACGGCTGATCCTGCAAAAGGATATTTTATACGAGTCGGTCTGTAAAATGAAATTTTGAAAAGAAAAAAGATCCTTCGCGATCCCCACGAAAAAGCTGGGATAGTCGCACGCGTGCCTTTTGGAAATTGGCATTTAATAATTTTTCATGATAATAATAATTTCCTGGACAAAGTATAATTTCAAGCTTTACCGGGTGTCCCGTCGAAAGCTCTTAGTCCTTGCTTTGCGGTGTACTCTAAATGCTAATTTAATTAAGCACAATATTTTTAATTGCCATAATGAGAAGTTGCACAGAATTAATATCGTAAGCGTTTCCATATTGTGTGCAAGGATAATCGTAAGCGACAACTGCAACTATTATAAAGCTGGCTTAAGGCCAAAAGCCTGTAACGTATTAATTTATCAGACTGGAAAATTTCCATTTCTCTGCGGTTAAACTTAACAGTTGGTTTCCCTTGCAAGGACTCAAGGACGTTATACCGACTAGGCAGGACCAAAAAGCTAAGAGCTAAGGAACAAAGACTATATTGCATGGGTGGTTTTATTGCCGCAACGATCATAAACTCTAGGACGAATTTCCGCCTCGCTTTTATTTACGAGCTTTTTCACCGACAGCGTAACAACGCAATGCGAACTGCGTACTTTCGCGATAAATATTTCTTTCGACGCGATCTTTATTTTCTTTTTTTTTAATTTACTTTGTCCCGCCAGTCCTCGTTCCTCTTATGTCTTCTGCACAATTGGATTTTTATTTTTTGAAAAAAAATTCCTCCACTGTCTTTGCAATACGTAAAGGTTAGGTTAGGTTAGGTCTCAGAACTCGAACAGGAGGGTTAGTAACCGGAAGTCCGTTTTACCTTCTTACCCAACTACCTCGTGCAACGGTACGTGCAAATTGGTCTTCGTTAATTGTTCTCGTTAAAATAAGACGGCGCCTATTTTTTTTTTTACTAAGGTTCATTATTTTTTTACACTTCGGACTGGGTTGTCGGATGAATAATTCCGTTTGGCTGTAAAATTATCTTTCCTTTTTATTATCAGTTAAAACGTTAAAGCAAAAGAGTACGATTCCCTTTTTTTGTTACTTGTTTATTTTGCCGTCTGAAAACGTCATGTTTTAGGTACTCCGGCAATTTTGGCTTTAAGCTCTTTATACTTGCATTACCTTGCGTTCAGCTTAAGCTCCAAAAAAGGTCTAAACGACTCAGCACGTTTCAAAGGATTTAACAGTATTCCAAGGCTGGTACGAGTGTAACGCAGATTTTCGTGCTTTATGAAAATAAACTTCGCTACAGCTTCCAGAGGTAATTGACATATGTTGCAAAGCACGAAAGCAGCCAAAGCGAGCGATAAATACGACCGTGATATTTCGAGCTGGCATCAAAGAAAGAAAAAGCTTAGTAGAAGAAAAAAAAAAGTAAGTGAAAGCTCAAAAAGCCAGATGAACTTTTACCACTGCCCTAAAACACATCCAGACTCCTTTAACAGCAGAACCACGAGTATCGTAGCAGGAAAGGGTGCGTCATTTCTTTTCTTATCTAGTCGAGAGAGAAGGAAAAAATCTCATTTCCGTCGCGAGCTTAACGCGCGAAATTCAAATTTGACAAGTAGGATCAGGTCTTTCAAAAGATTACAAAGATCTGATTAAAAGGTACCTATATGACCTCATTCGATTTTTTCATTTGCATTGAACTTTTAGACTCGAGCTTTTCAAAGCACTCTCCATACACTTTGGAAAATACTGAACCATCAGTTATTTACATAATTTCGTATGCGGGAACAGACATAAATGTCGATTACCTCGCGTCTAAGTACCAGAAAAAAAGTTTTCGGCCTCACGCGTTTCCTAAAAACGCCTGAGAGCGGCGCTTTTAAGCTTTCGCTCAGAGCCGGACATTTTGTTAACCACTTTAATTGTCGCGACGCGTCACGGAAAATAACGCGTCGTTGAATATCCGCCCGTTGCGTACCTTTCTCTTATGCTTTTTAACGTTACTCATTGTTTCATAAAAATGTCACGAGGGTCGGACGTTGCTTGGATATACGATAACGATAAAATTAAGAACCAGCCTTAATTGCACAATTTAAGGAACAGTTAAATAAATAATGATAATTGGAGCTCGTGCATGAATGAAAAAAAAAGTGTTGATAAAAATTTAATAATCGCCCATTGAAGACTCAGTATTTCGTCCCTTAGTTACGAATTTATCTCATTATACAAATTAAATGAAAATCAGGCCAAAAGTGTGTTTTTCTTTGAGAAAAGTCAATGATGCTTTTATAAATGAGAGTATTGAGCCTCGCAGGTATCGATTATCGATAAAGCAACCTATAGCGGAAATACGGTACATGAGGGGTCAGAGTGGCTAGAGAGAGGGGCCGAGAGGGGAAAAATAGAGTGAATTCAAAATAGGACCAACACGATCCTGAATAAACGACAGGAATGAAAATAATTACGCAATTCAATTAATCTAAACGTACATAAGCATCACAGTCCGTATATACTCATCCGAATTTACATGAAGGTATACATTTATATATACGCGTCATCCCCACATACGCCCATTGGTAAATGCCACACGTGTACTTAAGAGATTTTCCAATTTCGGTTTTGTCAAATCAGTACTGAATTTCATGTACAATTTTAATAGGTAATTAATTATGTACAAGTAATTTATTACACGTTGAATATAAAAAATAAAATTAAGCAATTATCAAAATTACACGAATTTTCGATATTACAATTGTTTTGTTTCTTATACAGAGATTTAAAAAATTTTTAATACAATTTTATTATTATTTATTGTATCTAAGCTATCCGAACCATCAATTTTGCTACCCGAAAATATCACTAGGGTATATTGATTCATGAGACTTTACAACTGCCTGGATATGACTTCGACATTGCCCTTAGCATACATATATAAACGCCTATGTATACTATCAAATGTTAACATCCCCGGTATTCTATCAGGACAATTAATCATTCCATCCGCATATTCCAAGAGGTATACACATACCCAAAATTAGTTAGGACGTGTAATTACTTTTTCTTTCAGTTCAACTATTACTAAACTCCCGAACGTCAGGCTGTCGAAAATTCAATTTTACAGAGTAACCAAAAGTTATTTCGTCGGAACTTCCGAGTTGAGGGTAGAAAGTTGAAGAAAAAAAAAGCACCCCAATACGTGCCACGAGGTTACCCAAAGCCTAATGCCAAAGTACTCTCAACTAATATGATTAACATTGGCTAATCATTGACTAACGGAGTAACGACAAGTCACTCGTTCGTCATCATCCCTCTGAGTAATAATTATTCACAAGTCTAATTAAATATTAAATGACTTACCGAAGTATCTTGTGTTCGGCATATACGAAGTCACAAATTCATCCCTGTTGTAATTCATCATTACAATGCGCAATTTCGTACCGACGGGAGATTTCGGCCCTATCGTGCCATCAATTCTTCGATCGCACTTGATCGCATTGGCGCTCGTTGTCGCCAACCAAAGTAAGAGTACAGTGCTGGGCCAATTGTGACCCGCCATTTTGGAGCTGCAACAAAAAAATTAAGTCTGATATTAAAGCAGCTAGACTGATTTTATATCACCGATGAATATCCGCATTCGGGTATGTAATCTTATTGAAAAATCCCTAGGAAATTTATGACGAACATACTATAGGCGTCTTATCCCTAATCCTATTGACACCTAGGGAATTCACTTCGGAATTTCCCTAGAGCTCACACTGCTGACGTTTAATCGGAGGTTATCAAATGGAAATAGGAAAATAAATTGCTGAGGACCGAGGGGAAGGGTGTAAATAGTTTGATAACAACAATCGTCATATTGTTTTTTTTTTCGAGCAGCTTATCGTTCAATGTTTGTTCTGGACCTTGACCCAGGTCCTAATCGAAGCAACGATTATAATTTACTGCAGCGATGCTTGAGAATTTAATAAAAGTTAAATTAATTAGATTTTGAATTGACTGGAAATTTGTATTTCGCGGATAAATTTTGTACTTCCATGTTTCACCGTGGCTCTGCCACAGGGGCGATTCCATGAGTCACGTGAAGTGTAACAAGAGCAAAACACTGCAGGCATAGTTGGGGCTATTAGTGTTACATAATAATAATAGAAAATGTCCCTAGAATATGAGGTGCTTAGTCATAGTCATGGTCAACAACGTTTTTGAATACAAAGACAAGAAATATATATATATCCTTATATCGTTTTGATCGATCGATCGGATCAAACTATTTTTTCTCATCAAAAACAACAAAATTTATTTTTTTTTACCTATATAAATTCTCCTTTTTTTTCTTCGAGCAACATATTACTCGTAAAGAACCGTTATGTTAATATGCACAAAATAATATTGTCTTCTAGGGGATATATCGTGCAAACGTGCAGCCATCTCAGATCTACGTTCGTTTCTCACGCTAGGGCTTAGATCATGCTGAGATCTAAGAAAAGTGAGGTTAACAATGATAATTGCATTAATTTACAGCATACAGAAGACAAGCTATGATTTTTTTTCTGCGATGGATCATAGCAATCTCATGAAACATTTAAAACCATCAGTTTCTTTATTTTCTAAGTAAATATATACATATTACACACACGATCTATATAGGCCGTGACATTTGACTCGGATTGGCATTCTGCCATTTTGAGGTTAGACGAATCTGAGAATCACTATAACACTTTATTCGTATAATTTTTAATTGCTGCAAGTAAACGTTACTAGCGTAGAAATTAATTTGCGAATGAGCGACCCCATATTGATTGTCAATTGAATAGACGTTTTTTTTTTCCTTTTTTCTTCTCACAACAGAAATACCTGTGTCTTGCAACCCTAAGGAAAACCAGACTGATGCCATAAATGGGAATGCACTTTTCTACAGTCGACGCAGTACTGCTTTTTTCCCGCATTTTTTCTTATTCTTTCACTTGACAAAATGGCAATTGAACCATAGGTGCTTTTCTTGCTTTTCAAATGGCATACAAAACGAACGGGTGAATTTTATGGGTTCGAATAGCGATCTGGATAAAAGTACCAGAATTTATGACGATTTCATAGAATCCTAACCAGACCCTATAATAGACGCAACAAAAGTTCCAGAAACAAAGCGTGAAGCATATCGAGTAATATAACATAATACCAGTCTAACATCCTAGTCAATAATCCTAACCTAACCTAAACTAAGTTACCAGATGGAAACTCATATATACATCATGGAAACATCTATATTTATTTAAATAGCATACAGCGCTTAGAAGATCAAACTTCATTTTCATCCAATTTCAATTAATTTATTTACCTACATAAGACTAATTACCTGACAGTAAATACCAACTAAAAATAAATACTGACAATAATTAAAACGATTAAAATTCATCAACTCCGAAATCACTAACTACAGGTTGCTAAAACCCAAGAAAAATAAGTATTAAAAAAGTTGCGCCAATCGATTGAATAAAAAAGATACCTTATCAGTCTTCTACAATGCACATAATATTTTTCTATTATACATCCTCACGATATGCTTCAACGTTATGCAATAATAATAATATCAATCCACCAATGTATACTGGAAAATAATAAACAACAATTTCTTGGATAATAATTCGTTACGTAATCAATTATAAAATAATCCCCCCTCTCCCCCTTAATTAATTGATTCAACAAAATTTTAAAAATCCATCTTTCCTCTTTTAGTTCATTTCCGGTTACCCCTTCATTCTCACCATGCCTTGAGTACTACCCGATTATACCATTTTTCTCTCACTCTTCCATGCAATTAAATTCTTTCAAGTCGAATTGCTTCTCAGGTCAAGTTGTCGACTCTGCGTATTACTAGGGACATTTTAATAGCCTTATCAGTGCCTTTTTTGCTTTCAGTCTCCCTTCTTTGTCTTTATCCAAGATTTCTCCACTTATTCCAATGTTCGCGCGTCCGATGCTTCCGGAGTCGCGCTATCGGCCGAGGAAGATTGACGAAAGATTCAAAGTAGCATTCAAGAGGATAAAGAGAAGCCTGAAGAGAAGGCGAAGAGGTGGCCGATAAGGGAAAAGTGGTGATAAAGGAATGGAGAAGGAAGTGAAGTGGTACGACGAAGATTGAGATCTTCAGTTTTTAGCATGGTCGCTTAACGTTGAGCCCTTTGGAACTTAAGTCTGAGAGAACCTTAATGCGACCTGACTTTCCAGGAGGTTGGTATCAACCGCCTCATTTTTTTTTTTCGTTTTTTTCTCAACTCTTTCTTGGGTAAGACCATCGGCACGGGAATACCCACACAAACTACCCAGCTTACTCGAGACTTGGTTAAACTGATTAATTAATTCAATTATCGATGCCCGATAGCTAGTAGGTAACTCCGACAATTTAGCGAGGGCTCGAAGTAAGAGTATCAATTTAAAATAAATCTTGTGTGCAAGTGTGACAGACATTTTTTTTGTCAAGGAAGCTTAAAGATTGTTTCCTTTAATTGGTGTCTGTATAACGAAATGATTTTAATGCTGGAATCTATTAGAAATATATTTTTGTCGTTATCACCTAATTGTGAGAATTTTTGAAAATTTGTGACGTTTCGAAAATTTTTAGCCTGAGCATTTTTTTTATATTTGTTTTTTTTAGTTCAATTTTTTATTTGAAAAAATACGAATTAAATAATTATATTGTTGAGGTATATCAATATATTCTTTATTCGTAATTTTGCAGTCAAGCGTCGTTGCTATTTGTTGTAATTGTCAATAATTGTTATTAAATACCTACGTTTTTCCCTCTCGCAATTTTTACTGTTGTACCTTTTTTTGTTTTAACAATTTTAATACTAAATTGATTCGTAGAATGAAAACACATGCACGACTGTCACGTGTAGAAAATGGCCAATAAAACTCTCACGACACAACACCCACGTTCGCGAGTTCGCGGGATACTAAAGGCAAACCTCAATAGTGTGGTAACTCTTGACAAAAGTAGCCCCTGCCTCACCCCTACCATTATCTGAGAGATGCGCGCGCAGCATCCCTTGGGCCACGTGATCGGCCGCGCGTATATTAATCCTAGATAAGAATTGGCTCAGATGTTTCACGTGAATCGAGAGAGCGTATAACGGGATAAAAAAGTTTGCAATTAAAATAAAAAATTGCATTATTAATAACCAAATTTGTTCAGACTGTATAAGAAATATATTTTTAATGGAAATTTATATGTTTACACGAGCAGACTGACGAGTCTCATTTTTCAAGGAAATAACAACGGCAATATCAGCTCTATTGCGTCAATGGAATTCAAAGAAAACTCGCGAAAAATTTGCCACATTCAATTGGTTTGTCCTCTGAATTAATTGTTTTATTTTCAAGTACGCGAACAACGTGCGCAACGAATTCGTCATTTTCGGCAATTTTATTAGCCTCGTAAACAATTCTTTCGAAATTATTTATTTCCGCTTCCGTTGCGCAAAAATTTACGCAATTTGAATACAGCCATCGTTAGAGTACACTGGCAATTGGTTTTTTAGCGAACTTTAAAAAAGGCAATTCCAAGAATTCGCCGATCTCAAAATTACATAAATACGTGTATCTAAAAAATGTTTTTAATTAATTTGAACCGCATTTTAATCTGTGCTTAATAAATACGCTAATCGAAAGTCACTCAAGTACACCGTCATGTGTAACTGTATTTTTGCAATCGACGATAATAGTATCCAAATACCAATTAGTATTTACTTCGATCAAACAAAAGTCCATTGTTTCGTTTATAACGCTATCATGCGTGTCTATCACGAGTAGAACGTAACAAATTGAATATCGGGTATAATAAAATGAAATTCTGAAAAAAAAATAAAAAGTCGAGTGGTGTCAATAAAATGAAATTGATAAATTTTACAATAAAATCAACACGTCTATCCGACGTTATACGTGTAGATAGTTTGTAGAATTTTGAATATTTTTTTCTTTCCTTTTTTCCACTTTCACTCCAATAACTCCCTGGATTTTATACTCCATTTACAACGTATACAAAACTGTGCATGTGCATGCTGTATACGTATGCAGATTTTACGTTCCGGATGTTGGCACCAGTGTATACGTTCCGTCAGCTATTTATAACGAAAAGTTTACACGGTCAGACTGTTCTGCTTGAAAGCTGTTAAAGAGACATGGTCCACGGATGATTCGATATTTTGTAACGGGATACAAGAAAAAACACAGTACAAGAAATATTTTGGAAATATATATATTTTTTTTTCAAAAAACAAAATTACCTCATTCATATACCTTGTGATTATTTGTGATAAGATGACACTAACAATTACATCATAACAGACGAGTGCTGTTGCTACTGGTAACGAATTTTGTTTTGTCACGTGGGTGGATGGGTTATAAAAAAAAAAACTTTACAAAATAGGAAAATTGCCATGACAAAATCATCGTTGTCTCCGCGATAAAGAAAATTCCTTATGAGAAGACACACGCGACGTCACGACCAAGGAGTCTTGTTGTTTTCGAAATTTTGGGAAATTATGTTAAAAGTGGTAAGATTTGTCAAAACGTGATATAGAGAATGTCAATAGCCGCTCCGAGGTTTCAGTGTATCGAAATGACAGGTGAATAACCTCATGTGTTATCAATGCTTTTATTACGTGTTTTATTTGACATCGTTAAGTCTTCGAGTTTCCTCGTGTTTCATATTTCAAGGGAAAGCATTAAAAGTTCATCCTGGGAAGCCGTCCTTGTCGGCAACCATGCAGAAGAGTAAAATCCCTACTAATATCAACCAGCCAGGACGAGCAGGATTGTTGCAGGTGAATTACATTAATAAAAATATTATATGAAAAAAGATCTATGAAAATAGGTGTTTGGATTTTTATTAAAAAATTTTTTTGGGTATTTATAAATTTTAGACTGACTCCGTGGATCAGCTGACTGCTGATTCCAGAAATACTAATGCCAATTTGACAACCGTAAAACGCCGTTTAAGGGTACACTTTTTCCATGGATGTTCATAAAATAATGATTGAATCGATTAAATTTCATTAATTATTGTAATTTTTTAAGAGTCATTCAGCGTTCAATGAAAATTTTGCAAAGTCAAGGAGTCAGCCATCCACAGCGGCCATTAGCGTTGCTCAGAAGAGACTTTTGGAAAATGATTACACCACTAAGAAAAAGAAATATGCGATTCTCAGAAAGGAACTGGTGGACAAGCAGGTATTTTGAACGAAACCAATTTTTATTCCGATATAGTAATTTTGAAATTTATATATAGAAAATAACTCAGGAGTTATATGAGAGCATAAATCGTCTACGGGAAAAAGTGATATCACTAGGTTCTAAGGATCCTGGAAAAATCGAAGAGCTACCTCAGGTGAATCAGGTTCCGGCAAAAAAAGGCCAGACTCCCGGTATATCAGAGAACGTTGAGAATTGTCAAAATCGAGTAGAAATTTTGACACAGGAATTCATAAAGGACCTGGAGACGTCCTTTCAGCAAATTCCTGAATCTCTGCTGAGTATTTGCCAGGAGGCGTTGGCAAAGCGCACTGAGATCATCTCCTGGCTAACAGATTTTGGACAGGAAAATACAGAATTGAATTTAGATCCGGAGATAGCGAAACAATTGTCCCAGTACAAATTAGAGAATGCAGAATTAGAGTTAAGGTATGAGGAAGTGAAAAGAAGTCAGAATGAATTTGCCAGCAGGACGAAAGTTCTGCTGTCAGAAATAGAGCGACTGAAAAATCAAGATCGCCTAACGCAAGATCAGCTCAAAGTACTAAGACTGAAGATGGACGAAATCATGGCAGAATTATTGGAGGAGCGTGAAAGATCGAATCAAGTTAAAGAGAAGAAAACTAATATGGAAACTCAACTTCAAAAAGCCAAAAATCGAATAAAGGAACTAGAAGTCCAAGTGACGTCTAATGAGAATCATTTGTCGCAGTTACAGAATCAGACACGTCAGAAAGAAACTGGCAATGAACAGAGAGCACGGGAAATGCAACGTTCTTTAAAAAGTAGTGACGGACTGGTGGCGCAGCTTGAGAAGCAGCGGGAGAGTCTGGAATCACGGTATTCTAAAATCATTCGTTTTAAAGATCAACTCAAACTTTTAATATAAAATTTGTGTGTAGATTAATCGAATTGAAAAAGGATATTGACAATAAACAAGCGGAAATTAATGAAATGGCGGAAAAGTTCGAACAGAAAATTGACAACGTCAATAAGGATTTGGATGAGCAGAAAAAACTCCAGTACTATTAACTGCTTTAATAAATAATATTATTTTGATTCCTTTCAAATTAATATAATACGGACGTTGTTTACGGGACAGACAGGAAACGGAAGTTGCGCTGAATGAAGCTCAAGAACGTTGTCGTCAGTTAGAAAAGAAATATGAAGAAATGTGCGAGTTGGCAAAGAAGTCGAAGGAACTTAATGTATCTGGTGAGTTTAAATAAATTATCATTCTTGATTTCATTACGAACTTCTGACAACAAGTAGTGGCGATATTAAACTGTCCCAGCATAATAGCATAATCACGTATTCGTTACATTTCATAATCAAGATGGCGAACATAAAGAAAATGAGACGCGTCTTCGTAACGAGCTTGAGAGCTTGCGTGGAACATTGACTGAGAAAGATGAAAAATTAGAAAGACTTAACCGCGAAAAGGAGGAAATTATTGCTGTCATGCATCAAGCTGCCGTTAGTTTGCATCACTATCGAAAGACTGCATCAAACGCCTCACCTAAATCCTAAAGGTACGTTCAGATAAGAATTAGTGCAGGAATAATACGCTTTTGATAGTTATTAAAAAATAGGAAAAAAAATATTCTTTATATTGTCACGAGTTGTAGTACTTATCAAAATACTGCACTAATTCGTAGGCTAATTTTTATCTGAACGATACCGAGATACGGTGTTACTTAGGCGCTTGGTTTGCTTCCGTTACTTTATGTCGTGTTAATTAATCAATACGTTCTTGGTTATCTTACGATTTCTTGGTTTTCTCTAGAACGAGGATAACGAAGCTACGCGTGAAAAATTAACAGCAAAACTAGCAATGAAGACTAATGAGTTGCAAGCTCTACGCGCTGAGAACGCCGCACTGCGGAGGCGTCAGGAACTAGTGTAAGTAATGAATATTTGATCGCTTTTAGTTCCGATCATGTCCGCTAGATTGAAATGGTGTCTCTACTGCAGCCAAGAGAGAAACAGTGGTTCAATAAATCAAATGGCTGAAGTAAACAGAAAATCGAGTCACGAAAATGGAAAAGCTTTGAGTAATCAGACGATGGAAGTCCAACAGCAAATTGCGGACTTACGTAATGCATTGTCGGAAACCGTACGGAAAAACGGAGAGCTGCAAAAAGTTCTGGCGAAAAAAGAAATAGAGTTGGAGAAACGCGACAAGGACTTGAAGGAACAAAGTAAAATTCTGAGAGTTCGAGACGAAGTCATAGGTCTTATCAAAGGCGCGGATCAAAGATCTAACGGAAACAATATAAACGAATTACGTGATGTCTTAGACGGCAACAATAGAGACATGGCACAAGTTAGTAATAGTTAATACAAAATAATTAACTACTTAAACGTAATTCATAAAGACAATAATGAATGCTATTAGGTTAACAAACAGATTGCCGCTAAAGCTGAACAACTGCGTGAATTATTTTCCACCCTGGAATACAAACAGATGCAAATAAGACAACTGGAAACAATGGTCAGGCAAATGGACGAGCAACAAGAACGTGCCCAAGCTCAAAGGACACGCTTAGAAAATAGAATCGCCCAATTAGAGTTGGCTTTAATGGGACGTAACAAAGAACGGTACGTTGAGGAAGATGCGATTCCGTTATTAAATTTGTCGAGTCCTGATAAGGAATGCATCTTTCGTGTCTCACCACGTCACCCCCACCAACAAACATTACTCCGTCCATCCGCTCCGCCCAATTCCCAATTTTTCGGCCAACCTCGACCATCTTCGGATCCACGATCTGCGCCACTTCTACATAAGGCGCGAACCAAAACGGTCAATGCCTTCTCGATTCCCACTGCTATGGCAGTGGAACGTGGTTTGCACCATGAAAACAATGTGAAATATGGTCGGGAAGCCAGGGAATGTCCGACGCGTGATATTGATTGTGATCGGGAAGCATTTTATAATTGGTTAATGGGACCAATAGCTTTTGAGGGTACCAGAAAGCTCGTTAAACATTCCAAAGCTAACTACAATGGCGAACCGTCAAGAGCCGTACCTACCTCTCTGGAAATGATGGAAAAAAATGAATGCAATAACAGAGAGTCGCGGAGCGTTAATCGTGGATATAACAGAATCTTTAGAGGAGACAGTCATTCACCAAGCCCTGTTAAATCATCCTCACCCCATAGACACACACCTCCTATTCGTGTGCGACAGTATACCACTTAGAGATAATTTTGGAATTCTTTTGTTATTCATCCGACCAGTTTTTTGATACATATGTAAGAGTTTAATTGCTAACATAGTTTCATTGTACTTTGTATAATTTGGTCTGATTTGACAGGCTAGGTGCTGAACCCTGAGCTATAAATTTTTGTTTTATTAGAAATTCTTTGTTAATAAGCAATATGAGAAACCTTAAAATTCCTTACAGAGTGCCTAGCCTTTGAAACAGACCTGCACCGATTCTTAGTTTTGATTGTGCTCTTTTGTTTTCTAGGAGTAAAGGGTTCAGCTTCGCGTAAGGAATTTTCAAATGGTCTTCACAACGTTCTAGCCCGTCCAGTCATACCAGGAACCATTGAAGCACTGAAAGATTAGCCATTTTTCTTTTGAGTCTTGTTGTACGTTTGTTTTTGTATTATTTATTCACTTTTTTACGATTCGTTTATATTGGCCAATCTTTCGTTGATTCAATGTCGTATATAAGAATCACGTATATTTAAGAAAAAGAAAATTAATGAAAAAAATCAAATGCAGATAGAAACAAAAATAATTCCTTGCTTTTATAAATATTTTTATAATCCGTTTTTTTTGTATGTGTCAATTAACTGTTGATATATATTATACATTAAAAGTATGTACAATTTAATTAAAATTTGAATTTTTTTATCAATCACTGTCATTATCACTACTACCAGAATAAGCACCGAGTAACGATAATCCATTGACTGTAGAGATCTGTGTATTTTCTACGATTTTCTTAGGTTCGACAGTTTCATCTATTTTTGGAATTGCCGATTTTTTATCATTTTCGGTTTTTGGTTTCTCAAGATTTTCAGAATAACTTGATTCAGTTTTTAAATTAATCGATTGATCTATTTTTTTGATACCCGAGTATAGTTTCACTCCTAAATTACTTTTTTTCTTCACAAGACCACTCAAATTCGATTTGCTTGACGTTATACCTGAATTTGATGACCACGTAGATCCACCAACAATCGAGGACACTGATGTAGATTGCAATTGTGTTTTCTGTAAATAAATTTTAGTATACAGCCACAATGTTGAGACTCTAAAATACTGCTCAAAGAATAGGGCAGTGTTAGAATTTATTTAGCCATATTTTTTTAGACTTAGGTTTTTAGGAATATTGAACTTACATTGTCATTATTCGGTGCTTCATTAACTTCTTCTACCGATGATTCGTCCTTCTCTTTAACCTTCTTGTCATCTGTTTTCATTACTTTTCTTGGTGGTTCATTGCTTTCATCCTTCAACTCAATAATTTCCTCTTCTACAACAACGCCACTAGTTCCCTGTTTCTGTCCAAATACAGAACGAACATATTGTTCATCCAATTCTTCCTGTTCCTTTTCAGTTCTTCGAGTAGCTGCTTCTGTGTCAAACTGTTCAAGCATCTGATCATAATCAATAGTTTGCTGTCTCCTATTAAGGTCCTTCAATTCTTCAAGAGATTCCAACAATTCTAACTCTTGTTTTGATTGCTGTGTTCTCTTTTCAAGTAACTTCATTGGATTAGTCGCCTCCTCTTCCTTCTCTTCATCCTCCTCCCGCTGTGCCTGCTCCTCGGCTAATTTCAATGCCATGAAATTTCGTGTAGCACCAGCCTCTATCTCATAATCTGTGTTCTTCGGATCTGTTTTAAATGATATTTCTTGAAGGCAACGTGTACACTTTATGTAAAAACGATATATCCTTATTCCCAGATAATCATCACCCTCCACATCCTCTTTACGAGCATTAAACTTTTTTCCTTTGTATATGTACTCGCCACAGGTTTTACAACGCATGTTAAAGGGTGCCATCAAACGAACAGTATACTGACGGTTGCGGGCAAATTTCATCCGCGGAATTTTCGACGGGTCGAAATCCGGCGGATAGTATTTCTGTGAAAAAAATAAGATATTTATGTAATCAAGCTATAACTGATAACTTAAGGATGTAAGCACCAAAATCTAACCTATATATAATGCATATATCAGATATCCAATGAATTATAGTTATCTGATCATTATAATGATACTTACGTTCAATACTTTACGTTCCGACATTGTTACGGTTTCCTTTATACGAAGTTAAGGAAATATTCGAATATATCACACACAGTTATTCGTTATTGGAGGTTAGAAATCATGCAGCTCTTATACAACAAACGTCAAAGAATCCTACTGAATCCTACACGAATGCCATACAAGCTGCAAAGCTCAATTCACATCAATATTGTCTACTGTGCTGCCGCAAAGCTGAACCTCTAAACAGGGAACTACTAAGCTTAAATAGGCTTCGCGTTATGTTCCACAGGTAGCAGTAGCAGTATAAAACCATTAACTCCGTTGGTATTGCAAAACTTCATTACCGACACATCTAAAAAGTCCAACAATAAATACCAATAACACAATCTATCGCAAAAATGTCATCAATTAATATTGCATTGGCTATACAATATAAAATAATGTATCGTAACGGGGAATGCAAACTGAAATTCTATTTTAAAACTTATTTTGCTACGGACTGTTTAAAAATTATGCAATCCGATTTGCACGGTATTATTTATTCGCCAATACGAAATTTGAACTCCCATAACAAACTATACGTTAGACTTAATATCCGATAACATAATACGGGCGATGAAAGCCCCTCGGAAAGAAGTGCGGGCCGGCGCTTCGTGGAATTGAATTGAATTCGGCGCCGTGTGCGTCTCAAAGATTATTAAAGCTGCCCGAGGTTGCGGCTACGTGACGGAATTAGGCGAGCTGGCGAATCGGCCGGCGAGATCTGAAAAAGAAAAGGGATTCCAGCATTCTCAGTTCCCCACTGGAAAACAATGTCTAACTAGATACTAATAAAATAGTTTCCCGTTAATCAGATATTATAACGGTATAATGGAATAACAAATTTTTAAATTCGGTCATTAATTTAATACTAAAATCTATATTAATTTATTAAGTGTAATCCTCTCGTACGATCGGTCAAATTACACTACTCGAGTGAACAGGTTGTAGAAACGTGCCAATAGTGTCATCTGTCGGTATGGTGACATAACTTTTAAAATAAACGACTACCATTGGCTGAATTTTAGTAACCATAATGCATTGCTTATATACGTACTGGCGGCGGTTAATATCCAGTATTCCGCAGAGACCGTATACCAAGCATAATAATTTCTGTCAATTTATATCTCGACTTTTTATCGTTTCACTATATATTTTTATACGACAGAGTGAAATACGACAGCCTTATGTAATTAACTCGAAATAAGTTCCTGGAGGGTCGACTTCTTCTTTGTGCAAACATAAATTCATACGATGTCATCCTCCCTTAATCTATCTATCAGTGCGTGTATTTTTGTAATAACTAATAATGGTTGTTATTTAAGCACGGATCTTGTTACTATTTGATTAATGCCGAAGTATTAAAAAAAATATGTCAAATTCAAATTACACTTTGACTAGAAAAACAGAGAATCTCGCTGTTACATACATTTTGTAATTGATTATACGCCTAGAAATTCGTAAGTTCAAGATAAATGATGTAAGAGAATAATAGAGAAAATATAATCAAAATTAAATGTGCAGATATACGGTGGAGTACGGCTAATTAAATTTATTCGCGCCCATAAGGCATACGCTATCTAATTAATTAACAATTCTTGTACGCTCGAAAAGGGGAATCCCCCGATTACACTCTACCGTCAGAATTCTCGTGCCATGAGTAGACAGCAGAAAAAGCAATAAAAAATGAAATCATAAAGCACATAGAACAATGCATAGTACCGATCGAGTAGCGAATAAAAATTGACGATAAATCACCGAAATGTGGAAAAAAAGTTTTAACCGACAACAAAGATTTCATAATTTTGAAAAAGCATCCCAATACTCCAACTTCGGACCGTGAGACATTTGAAATGTCTGATCAGGCTGTACCATTCGTGGAAGTCGTTCCATTCATGGAGTGTAGATGCTGTTAGCGTGCAGTGGCTCTCAAATCTCTCAGATCGATTATCCATTTGGATAAAAAATTTGCAAAAAATGTTATCTCCCTAATAAAAAAGAATTTTATTGTCTCATTTCCAACATTTTGATTAACCAATCAATCAATCACAAATAGCAACTATGCACATAAATAAATTTATTTATTATTAGTGTAAAACAATTGATCGACAACTATGCAGTCTTATAATAATTGCCGGTACCCTAGTTGCATAGTTGTGTAGTAGTTACGAACGTCAATTAGCCAAATCTTATTTCTAATCCAATCGACAGCACTACACCTGTTACTAGTATTATCATTTTCACTATCGCTGTCATTACCTCCACTATGCGATCGACATAGTACGTCCTAGTGACTCTAGTACACGCGCTTACTCTACCACTACGTGACGTAACTCGAGCATAGTTACTCATTACTAGTACAAAAGGCAATGTCCCTTTAATAGCCGATTATTATCGTGTCGACTTTACGCTCGACGAACAAGAAAAAGGGGAAGAAATTTACTATTCTTGCACGTACAATTACTACGTACAACACGTACAACTACTACGAGTCGTGTTAGTCGTGTTTCTTATCGACTCTTCAAACTTATCATAGTACAACAATCATAGTAATACTATAAAAAAGTCACTATTAAATTCAAGGCACATTAAGTATAAACCTACAAAAAATCCTACCGTCTTGCATAGTTAAAAATTCAAATATCTTTTTCTACTATTATACATAGTACATCACTCTGTACTTATACATTTCTATTCACAATGCACTATGCAACTATACACGTTGTACAATGACCGCATGCAAGTTAACACATTTCTATGTATGTACATACGATGCGTGCAAGTTTACGAATTCGCATAAAGCCGCGTTTCGCACACGAGTTTCGTTTCGCCTTTAGATCCCACTAGGGCGACCTTCGAATCTTTATTATCAACGAACAGCAGGCGGATTTACAAAGTACACATGAAAGAGCCTGCACATATATATCGAAATCGTATCGAACATAATATTCGTTGCTAAGGGATACTTTGGGGAGAATTTTATTTAAGAAGTGGCTGTTTTGGGGACCGTCCCCAAAAAATTTCCAGCGTAACGGCTGTTTTGAGGACCATAAAGCGGACTGTCACACCAAGTTTGTTTATATATTTTTTAAGGTTAGACATCCAGTATTTGTGATGGCATAGAAATGTTTCGTTAGCTTAGATTAGGTAAGAATTCCAATGCTTTGATGTCCCAAGATAGTAATTTAAAAAAAAAAAACACTAGCTTGCTATTGTGAACGCCCCTTAATTTTTCGTATCCCCAAACTATCCCTTGCTCACAACTATATATATGTATCGGTTTTAGTATCCGTACGTATTGCAGCGATAGTGATATCAGGATAGTACAATATACACACATATGTATATATAATAGTATGGAATATTGCACTATAGTAGTCGACATGACCGCATTAGAATATCTAACGCGTCATGGGAACATGTTATCCTAACCTATCGCATACACTATGACCCAAAGTAGAAAATCTTTCGGATCTCTTTCGAACCGATCGACAATGTTTAACGATTTAAGAATACGTAAGGAGTGACAATATATTCGACACTTTTTTTCCTTCTCATTTTTCTCCTTTATTTTCATCTTTATTTTTGTTCTCTTTTCTCTTCATCACCCTTTCACCCCTTATTCTTACCGTTCATCCCTATTCTTTCACGCGGTCGCGTTGTAGCGTCAATGGAATTTTGTTATGTACCCCTTTATTTTTTTTTCTTCCCACCATCTCGCTCGCTCCGATTGTTCTCATCTTTGTTCCGCCGAGACTCCCTGTCGACGAATTGTGGAATGTCAAACGCGCTTCCGTTGAATAAATGCATCCCGTTATTCGAGATATTTCGATCGACTCTGCGATATTCAAGACGGAAAAGAAGAGTGAGCGGTGCGCTTGTACGGAAACACTGTCGATAAAGAAGGACGCGTTTGAATATTGAAAACGTTTAAATTTCCCGCGCAACCATCAATCCAGAAACTAATATAAAACTTGATAGACGCATATCTCCTTTTTACTAGACTCTTAACATTTTGTCTATCGCCTCTAGAACTCTTTGAACATCGACAAAATTTTTGTTCAAATTTCTTATCAGCTGTCTACACAACTGTTATTTTACAGTGCCACTCATTCCACTTTTCGCAGATTTCGAGTTTATACATTATACGTGCAACTCTCTCTCTCTCTCTCTCTCTCTCGCTCTCTCCCACTTCTCCACCCTAAGCACAGTCTCTCGGTCGTAGCCACACAAGAAGCCGAGTGGAATGCGGTTCGAATGACTGTCCAAGTATATAAGAGTACATAAGCCTTCGGCAGATATATATATTACATATGTACAATAAATATATATATATACACACGTGGAATTAGCCGAGGGTATCGAGTATAGACTAAAGGACGAGCCAAAATATATAATATCCTTTCTATTCCATATTTATCATAAATTCGAATCTTCTGGTCAAATATTTATACACGTATATGATTTATCAGACGTTTTCATTCCGCCTGCTTCTCATTGCGCAACGTCGCATAATATAATTTCGTGTATCACCAATGCATAGACACGGGTAAACATAGTACAGGTATGTTATACGTACGTTTTTACGACAGTAGGCTACGACTGGTTCACACGAGGAAGGACACGAAGAATAAGTGGAATATGAAAAGGATGAAGGATAAGGTATAAGGTGGAAGGAGGGTTTTCTGAGAAAGCCGAAAAGCGAAACACGAGCCCGTGGTAGCCCCACTGGGAAGTTGGTAGTCCTGACTGGCGTGCCGGTACCTTCTGTGACATTGGAGATCACGGTTAGGTGGCCGGTTACCTACCTTACCTTACCATACCTTACCACGTAGTTTTACCATCTTACTCTAACGACTTTCTTCTCGTCTCACTTCCACGCGTCTCGTCCACGCGACATCCGTCTCTTCTTTTATGACTGCGCACTTGCTCGCTCGTACGTCACGCCATAGAAAACAGTCGAATAGACGTCTGCGCATGCGCATACGCACGCGCATGCGCGAACGCACATAATGCCGTACAATTTTTTTGTTGGGTTGACCCTTATTAAATTTCACGAGTGTATAGGAAGTCTTAATCGGTGGCTGAATATCGCAGATAAGTTTCGTCGATACTTTGTCTTCGGCTACTTTGTTGCCAAGGTG